GGAGCCCCTAAGCAGAGAGGATGTCCTCCCTGGATACATCACCAACAGGTACCCTGACAGTACCCCCCCTTCTAGAAACGCCCACCGGGCGGATGGGACCTGGCTTAGAAGGAAAACGAACGTGGAAGGCCCGAAGAAGACGAGGAGCATGCACGTCTATACCAGGAACCCAAGACCTCTCTTCTGGACCATAACCTTTCCAGTCTATGAGGTATTGCAGCTTCCCCCTAGAAATACGAGAATCAAGGATGGACTTGATGATATATTCCTCCTGACCATCCACACGGACCGAGGATGGAGGAGCAGAGCGGGAGGAAAATCTGTTAAACAAGAGGTTTCAATAACGACACATGAAAAGAGTTAGGGATGCGTAGAGTAGGAGGTAGATCCAGCAAATAAGAAACCGGGTTGATCCTCCTCAGTACCCTGTAAGGACCAATGTAACGAGGAGCAAACTTCAAGGAAGGAACTTTCAGGCGAATGTGTCTGGTACACAACCAGACCCTATCCCCCGGAGAAAAAATAGGAGCAGGACGTCTACGCCTATCAGCATGTGACTTAAACACCGCGGAACTACGTTCAAGAATTTGTCGAGTCTGATCCCACAACTTTCTCAGGTTGGCTATATGAATATCAACCGACGGTATACCCTGGGAAGGAGACACCGACGGAAGAACAGTAGGGTTAAAGCCATAGTTCAAGAAAAAGGGGCTATTACGAGTGGAACCACAAACAAGGTTGTTGTGAGCAAACTCCGCCCAAGGAATCAGACCGACCCAGTCATCCTGGTGTTCAGAAACAAAACAACGTAGATATTGCTCAATTTTTTGGTTAGTGCGTTCGGCTGCTCCGTTAGATTGAGGATGATAGGCCGAAGAAAAATTCAGTTTGATGCCCAACTGTGAACAGAAGGATCTCCAAAAACGGGAAATAAATTGGGAACCCCTGTCTGACACAATCTCATTGGGAATACCATGTAAACGGAAAATTTCTCTAGCAAATATCACGGCCAGTTCGGGGGAGGACGGAAGTTTAGGCAAGGGAACGAAATGAGCCATTTTAGTAAACCTGTCAAGGACCGTGAGGATAACTGTATGCCTATTGGAAGCTGGTAGATCAACAATAAAATCCATAGCCAAGCAAGCCCAAGGTTTGTTGGGAACGACTAAGGGCTGCAATAAACCACAAGGGAGATCCCGCGGAAGTTTATTCCTGACACAAACATTGCAAGCCTTGACAAAGTCTTCCACATCCCTACGTAAACCGGGCCACCAGAAGTCTTTGGAGATCAGGCAGTAAGTTTTGTGGATGCCGGGGTGACCAGCGATCTTGCTATCGTGGAAACAGCGAATAATGTCCACTTGGAATTTGGGAGACACGAACAAGCGGCCCACAGGAGTACGTTCGGGAGCAAGAGATTGTTCGTTCTGAATATCAGCGAGCAATGGAGAGTGTATTTTGACATTGGTGTTGGCGATAATATTGACTTCAGGAATAATAGGGAACAAAGTATCCTCTGTAGAGGTGGTAGGTTCGTGCTGACGTGACAAAGCGTCTGCCTTAGTGTTCTTAGAACCAGGCCTGTAAGTAAGCACATAATTAAAGTGTGTAAGGAACATAGACCAACGTGCCTGCCTGGCAGATAATCTTTTGGCCTCCCCCATATACGATAAATTTTTGTGGTCAGTCAAGATAGTAACTGGGAGGACGGTGCCCTCTAACAAATGTCTCCATTCCTTTAATGCCATAATGATAGCTAAAAGTTCTCTATCACCAATGTCATATCTCCTTTCAGTGTGTGATAGTTTCTTGGAAAAAAAACCGCAAGGGTGCAGCGGCTTATCTAAACTTTGTCTTTGGGATAACACTGCGCCTATCCCTGTTTCAGACGCATCAACTTCAAGTAAAAAGGGTAGAGAGGTATCAGGATGAACTAATACAGGTGCTGAGGCAAAAGACTGTTTGAGCGTTTTGAAAGCAGATAAAGCCTCAGTAGACCAGGTTTTGGTATCGGCTCCTTGTTTGGTCATATTAGTGATAGGAGCGATAACAGAGGAGTACCCTTTAATAAAACGTCTGTAATAATTAGAAAATCCAAGAAATCTTTGTATGGCTTTGAGTCCCTTAGGTAAAGGCCAATCTAAAATCGATTTTAGTTTGGTCGGGTCCATCATAAACCCGTCTTTGGAAATTACGTAACCTAAGAAAGTTACCTGAGACTGGTCAAAGCTACATTTTTCCAATTTACAATACAATCCATGTTGTAAAAGTTTCTGTAATACCTTTCTGACTTGTCTATGATGTGAATTAATGTCTCTAGAATGGATTAGTATATCATCCAAATATACAATTACACATTCATGTTGGAATTCTCTAAGAACTTCATTGATCAAGTCTTGGAAGACGGCCGGGGCGTTACAAAGCCCAAACGGCATTACGGTATACTCATAATGCCCGTAACGGGTATTAAATGCTGTCATCCATTCATCTCCTTGTTTAATTCGCACTAAGTTATATGCTCCTCTTAAGTCAAGTTTGGTAAAAATACTCGAGCCCCTTAGTCTGTCAAAGAGTTCAGTAATCAAAGGAATAGGGTAAGCATTTCTGATAGTAATTTTGTTCAATCCCCGATAGTCTATACAAGGACGTAAGGTACCGTCTTTCTTTTCTACAAAAAAGAAACCCGCCCCCGCCGGAGAAGAAGACTTTCTAATAAATCCTTTGTCTAAATTCTCCTTGATATATTCCTCTAAAACTAAGTTTTCCTTGGTGGATAGAGGGTATACCGTACCCCTGGGAGGCATAGTACCAGGGAAAAGTTTAATAGAACAGTCATAAGACCGGTGGGGAGGTAAAGTATCCGCCTTACCCTTGTCAAATACAGATTTGAGGTCTAGATATTGTAATGGTATCTGAACGTCTGTGGATTGAGAAGTGTTAACATAAGAGTTTACGGGGCAAACAGAAGTAACTCTCTGCAGACATTCTTTCCTACAACCCATACCCCAAGAAACGATTTCTCCACCCTCCCAGTCAATCTGAGGGTTGTGTCTCTTGAGCCAAGAATATCCTAGTACCACTGGGACTGCCGGGGAGGAAATTAACAGAAGGGAAATCAACTCCTCGTGGAAAATACCAACAGTAAGCTTAACGGGTTCGGTCTCATGGAATATTACTGGTTCAGATAAAGGTCTACCATCTATGGCCTCAACGGCCAAGGGTGTATCTCTCAATTGGAATGGGATACAATGCTTATTAGCGAAAGTTTGGTCTATAAAGCTTTCTGCTGCTCCAGAATCTAATAATGCCATCGTAGCAATAAACCCCTTTTCCCAAGCTAGAGAGACAGGAATCAGAAGCCTATGGTCTTTTTTATTATGCATAGAGGACAGTAATGAAACACCCAAGGCCCGTCCTCTAAGGGAACTTAGGTGCGAGCGTTTCCCGGACGATTAGGGCAACTAAGACGTAGGTGACCTCTCAGCCCGCAGTATAAACAGAGACCCTCCCTTCTTCTGTACTGTCTCTCAGCCTCAGATAAGCGAGTATTACCTATTTGCATAGGTTCTGGTGGAGTAGGATTATAGGAGTCAGGGTTCTGAAATGAGGGAGCGAGTCTTACAGGAAGTCTAGTAACTCTTTCCCGAGTGTTCTGCCTCTGTCTCATGCGTTCATCTATTCTGGAAATGAAGGATACTAAATCCTCTAAATTTTCCGGAAGTTCTCTTGTGGCAATTTCATCTAGAATTTCATCAGACAACCCATTCAAGAAAACATCCATAAAAGCTTGTTCGTTCCATTTCACTTCTGCTGCCAATGATCTAAACTCTAGAGCATATTCTACAAGGGTCCTATCTTGTTGTTTAAGGCGTAACAGGGATCTGGCCGCATTAATCTTCCTCCCTGGGGGGTCAAAGGTTCTTCTAAAAGCCGTGACAAACGCAGTGTAGTTGTAGACTAAAGGATTGTCATTCTCCCAAAGGGGATTGGCCCATCTAAGTGCTTTATCTATTAGCAGGGTTATAATAAAGCCTACCTTAGCCCTGTCAGTGGGATAAGCCCGGGGTTGTAGTTCGAAATGTATGCTTATCTGGTTTAAAAAACCACGACAAGCATCAGGCGAACCCCCATATCGTAAGGTGACGTGACATGGGAAGATGCGCCTACAGTGGCTACTTCCAAACCAGTACTTAGCGAGTGGCTAGCAGTGGAACGTATTTCTTCAGACTGGGTACTGGAGCGTGTTAACAAAGTTTGTAACGCTAAAGCCATTTGGTCCATTCTATGGTCCATGGCCTCAAATCTGGGGTCAGGAGGACTAGCACCTGCAGGATCCATCATGGCCCTGTCGTAATGTCAGGAAACTGACAGGGATCCAATACGCAGAGTGCGCACAGAAGGAGGTACGTATACCGGACCTTAGAATGGCCGGACTAACGTAAGGACAAAGCAAGAATAGTCAAAAGGTAAGCCGAGGTCAAGGGAGCCGGAGGACAGGTAAGCGAGATACAAGCCGAGTCAAAGGAGAGGAGAGGACAACAGGACAAAAGACAAGCAAGGGTCAAAACCGGAAACACAAGATAAAGAACGCGCTGAGTGACTAGCAAGCTAGAACCACGACAGGGCAATGAGCAGTAGTAAAGGTTTCCTTTAAATACCCTGTTACCTAAATAGAGACCACGCCCCCAAAAGGTCCGGAATAGCGGTTCCCGGCACTTTATGCAAATGCCGACGTCATGACGTCGACGCTAGCCGTCGCGTCATAAAAGGGGGAGGAGCTAGCGCGGCCGGCGCGAAAACGGCCGGAATATGCCGAAATGCTAGGGGCAGGGAGGCCCTAAGCAGAGAGGATGTCCTCCCTGGATACATCACCAACAGGTACCCTGACAATATGTGTATGTGTGTATATATGTGTATGTGTGTATATATATATATATATATATATATATATATATACACACACACATATATATATACATACATACAGATATATATGCGGCGTGTGCTTGTGCTTTAGGGTGCACACCCTAATGCAATTGGCTGCGCACGCCTATGGTCTAGATACACACTTGTACCTAGCTAAACTGTCTCTGACCAATGATTAGACACTCAGGCCCCCCAGGTTTGGCGAGCTGCCACTAGCGGGCACTTGTTGAACAGCCTCAAGCACGGCTACAGACCGCCTAATACACAGCTCACCTCCATTACTTAATTTGGCCAACCTACTACCAAGGTATAGCCACAGAGTCCGGCAATAAGCCTCTCAGCCAGCCAACCTACAGATACATGCTATGTACCATGTTACATTGCAATGTTTGTTACCAGCTTCGATGAGGCTGCCCCCCATTGCCGTACACCTCAATACCCAGCGGTTACCAAGCTCTAAAATTAAACTTAATTATAGTTCAGCATTTTCTCTTCCCTTCTCGGATTAGAAATGTCAATGTCAGCCCACAAGTGATGTTCTCTATAAGCTTATCGGCTCATCACCAAATGACATACCCTGTACCAGCATGTTTGAAATGAAAAAAATAAACGCTTTGTTTAGCTTGATTACCCTTACTATAAAATGTGCAGTCTTTCCTATGTTCCATGAAAATGTACCATATGTATTCACCTCAAATGCTTGTTTATGCTGTTGTGGCAAATCATGCATATTTGTATTCTCATGCACACTGAAAATAAAAAATAAAAAAAAAAAAAAAAAGAAGCCAGTGAAGGTGAGAGTAGGATTTGAAAGTTTTGGAAGAGGGTATGTATATAGATGATTTGGGACGAGTTGGACCAGACAGGCTGGAAAGGTATACGTAGAGTGCATGCAATGAATAGAGAGGGGAGGTGAGTAAAGTGGGGGCAATGAAGATGGTGTCTCCAGGGACAGGAGAGCAGAAGGATAAGGATATTTTAGTAATGAGAGAAGTTAGAGTGAAAGTTAAAAATAGAAGGGAGAACATTAGTTAGAGAAAATGTGTTTTGTTATATAGATATAAAGATTATACATATACACACATATATAACCATAGACATATATAAACACACATACCTATGAGTGTTTAAACCATAGTTAAAGCATGCAGTTTGTTAAGAGGGGGCATTCAGGTAAGGAGAGATTTAGGGACTTGATTGGTGTGTTTTGAAAACCAGCTGATCAACACTATCTATAAATATGGTAATGGCCATGAGGTGGGGTGGGCAGCCTTCCCGAGATGATACCTCTGCTTAGGCGTTTCTCCAGTGCTTGGTTGCTTTTGAGTTGTGCGAGTTACTAATCAATGCTGTTATTTGGGGCCCAGTCTGAAATATAAAGTCTGGGGTTAGAAAAAACACCATTATGGGTGAGGAGACATGGACATATTGAGGTAATTAGACATTAAAAACCAGAGGAGAAAACATTAGGGATAAAAAGACATGGAGGATCAGATAGGTGAAAGTCATAAACCGTGAACATAAATTTACAAGAGTAAAAAAGAATGAACATAAATTAACAATAAGACTATGAGTGCACTAATTTTAACTTGATACTATTTGCTTTAATATGAGAGGATGATTGGCTGCCCAATATTCAGGAATGAGATAGCATTTGATCTAGATTAGTAAAATTAGGGAACAGCCCTTTTAAGGCTCCCTGTCTTTCCTTATGACTTTATTTCTGACTTATTAATTAGTGTTTTTTAAATGAGACTTTTTGCATTGATGCTTATTCAGGAACAAGGGAAACCCCTACTGGTAGAACTCTACCATTGCTATCCATCTACCTAAATCTTGGGATAGCTTAATGCGTCACCGACACCATAAGGGGACTTTGTTGAATTCGCAAAGTCCCCTGGCAGTGACATCACCGGTGTGGTCCAGTGACCGCAGGGGGCAGGTAAGGGTGAAATTACTTATCCGAACCAGTCCCTCGTGGGCTCTGCAATCTTGATTTGCTACTCTTCAACTCCTGGCACTTCAACGCCAGGAGCCAACATCACTGTGGAACTCTGACCCTGATTATAATCACGCTGATTATATTTCTTTGCACTACTTTTGGTAGGTACTAACCAGTTCATACCCCACAAGACGTGCCGTTTTGGAGAGGCCCAGTCATCTAGCCATCAATAGTTGGTCCTTGTAAAAGTCATTCAGATCTTTTAGCTTGCCCATTTTTTCTGCTTACAACACATGAAATTCAATAAATGACCGTTTACTTGCTGCCTAATATATCCTACCCCTTGAAAGGTGCCATTGTAACAATATAATTAATGTTATTCACTTTACCGGTCAGTGACTAACAGTGTATGTTTTATATCTTTCTTAATTATACAGTGAATCACATTTTCATATTTCTGTATGGACACTAGAGGTAAGTCTTCATGAAGTCTATAATAAATGACATAAAGGAAAAACAGAAGCAACAAAATAATTATCGTAACATTTGGAAGCAGAGCTAATAGGTTATTGACTGCAGAGATTTTACAGCCTCTGTCTCCTTGGACAATAAGAGGGTCATTATCATCTGCCAGTCATGAATTTCAGTTTTTCTTTGTTCTGTTTTTTGCTCGTTGTCTTCAAGGCCATCAAGATGCAAATTATGGTAGCTTTTGTGTAGGTAGCGAAGTCAGTTTCCTCCATAGCCACCCATTTCCTTTTTGTTCTTTACTGCCCATCTCAGTGTTAGTAAGACTCTCAAAAAGTCCAGTTAGATCTTCTCGGAATAGAGACACGTCTGTCACAATATTAAGGCTCCAATAATATTGTGATAGATGTGTCTCTATTCCGAGAAGATCTAACTGGCACCATTTAGTCACCAATACAGTCCCCCAAGTTAAAGCATATGTGTGATGGGGCTAGTGCTGGCAGGACTTCCTCTCCTCCATCTAACTGAAACCCATCAGATTCAGATGAGATAAAGGATTCCTCAGCCATACTTAAATGAAAATTTAGATTCCCAATGTCTATCCTGCCCAGGGGCTTCTGCTTTTTAGATCTGTGACTCATTATTATGGTATATTGGTATTGTTCTCCATCTCAGCTTTACGCTATGGGGTTGTCCCAGATATATAACTTCTGTTGGTGTGGGAGCACATTTAGAGTAGACAACTCAACCAGATAATTCTTATGATTATAATCTCATTTACCCCGGCTGTAATACTGCTGGCCCACACGAAGGCAAAAGTACCACAACAGAGAAAAACACTAACTATACACCTATGACACACCTTGTTTTTTGTTTATATTACTTTGTGTGTCATTAGTTGTTATTTTATATCGCTTATGTATAATTGTAACGTGCTGTGGAATATGTTGGCGTTGTTGAATATGTCAGAGATTTATAATAATAATAGGTATTCCTGGATGCAATATCTAGAGTTCTCCATTTTTTTTATTTATATGCTGCTGAAGGACACCTACAGTTTTGGGTGTTCAAGCCTCAGAGGTAGATTCTGCGCACTGGTTAGGTTTTTCAAGCCGCATCCCCTTTTATTAGTGTTAGTGAATTTTCCTCATATTAGCAACTGGGCAGCTATCTAGGTAGTTCTGGTCAGCAGCCATATAATTAACCATCTAGGTGGTGTTTGGTTCAGTGCTATCAGTTTTCGCCAAATAATTTTGTCTGAACTAAGCTGACACATTGCCAAGCATTGGTGTAGTAATACTTGCTCCATGCTTAACAGCTCCCCTCTAGCCGTGTGGCCTGACTGCTCCATGCAGTTGAAAATCTGTGGGAAGAAACATACTTACACATTTGGCACCAGCGAATAGCTGCAACGCATTAGCTGGCACCAAGCCGGTGTTCTCTGCAAAAATTTGTTTCCTCCAAGGGTGCTATCTTAAAGGACCACTATAGTGCCAGGAAAACATACTTGTTTTCCTGGCACTATAGTGCCCTGAGCGTGCCCCCACCCTCAGGGTCCCACTCCCGCCGGGCTCTAGGGGGAGGAAGGGGTTAAACTTACCTCTTTCTCCAGCGCCAGGCGGGGAGCTCTCCTTCTCCTCCCTCTTCTTCCGTCACCGGCTGAATGCGCATGCGCGGCAAGAGCCGCGCGTGCATTCAGCCAGTCCATAGGAAAGCATCATCAATAAAAATCACAGTGAGAAGCGCGGAAGCCCACTAGTGGCTGTCAATGAGACAGCCACTAGAGGCTGTCAATGAGACAGCCACTAGAGGCTGGATTAACCCATAGGTAAACATAGCAGACTCTCTGAAACTGCTATGTTTACAGAAAAAAGGGTTAATCCTAGCTGGACCTGACACCCAGACCACTTCATTAAGCTGAAGTGGTCTGGGTGCCTATAGTGGTCCTTTAAATAGATTTGAAATTCACAACATCATGCCCGCCTTTAATGGGACTATGTCATCTAGGCGACCCTATGCTGTTTGGAGTCGCAGAGATGACATGGACCAATGAGAACACATGTGAACCTATTTAAAGACTGTTTAGGCCCTTTTCTATTACCCAATCATAGTTTCTGTTTAGTTAGTATAGTGCTTTAAAGGACCACTCTAGGCACCCAGAACACTTCAGCTTAATGAAGTGGTCTGGGTGCCAGGTCCTTCTAGGGTTAACCCATTTTTTTTATAAACATAGCAGTTTCAGAGAAACTGCTATGTTTATTAATGGGTTAAGCCTTCCCCCATTCCCTCTAGTGGCTGTCTCATTGACAGCCACTAAAGGCGCTTGCGTGCTTCTCACTGTGATTTTTGTAAATGCTTTCCTATGCGAGGGGCTGAATGCGCGCGCAGCTCTTGCCGCGCGTGCGCATTCAGCCCAGGAGGAGGAACGGAGGAGGAGAGAAGGAGGAGAGCTCCCCGCCCAGCTCTGGAAAAAGGTAAGTTTTTAACCCTTTCCCCCTTCCAGAGCCGGGCGGGAGGGGGACCCTGAGGGTGGGGGCACCCTCAGAGCACTATAGTGCAAGGAAAACGAGTATGTTTTCCTGGCACTATAGTGGTCCTTTAAGCAACTTTTTTGTGATTTCCTGTAATTGACCTTGGCTTTGTTTTTACATTGAGAACTTCTGGTATACTGACTTGGCTTGTATATTGACCTGTGTATTTCTGTTAATTTGAGCCAGCTTGTTTTTTTGTGTATCCATATTTCTGTATTCCTGACCTCAGCTAGTCCTGACTTTGATTGTTTCTTTTAAGACGTTAAGTCTGGCCATTCTAGGACATATTAATACAGCTTTTTGGACACTCGTGTGAGCATCCTCTTTACTGTGTGTTAGGGTAACGACATCTGACAACCTAAAGAAAATATCCAAATTGGAAAATTTCCAAATTGGAAAATTTTGTTTGGAAAAAACAAACAATCACGCTGTGCACACTTCTAATGAACAT